GTATGAGTTAATCCAATGATAGGTTCATTAACTCAACATTTCTCCTGCAATGAAACTAGAATTCGCTTGGTGATGGACTGAAGTTTACTGCACTCTCCCTTCTCTAATGTTAAACTCTCCTTCCTTTTCAAGAACTATTTTAATGGTAACGTATTAAACTTCAAGAAAATCTCAAATTTAGAGCACTTTGTTTGACGGAAAGAGAGATCAGAATCCCATTTTTAAAGCAACAGTAGCAAAACCGAGGGTGGTAGCAAAAGCAAAGGGTGCTGAGATGCAAAATCAATATAGATTATTTTGAGGAAATTAAGGGAAAGCATGTAGTTTAGTCCGACACTTGCTGAAGACAATATGGAGTACTCTTCAATATTAGTTTTTTGTTTTTTCTCTTTTTTTTTTGTTTTTCTTGAGGGCACAAATATACATTTTTTTTAAAGACAAAGGATGTGACCTAAAGCTGTTAGATTCCATTCGCATTCCATCAGCCCAAAAGTGCATTGGATTTATACAGAGTTAAAGGTTACACTTCCAATCCTCCCAAACAACACACCTGCAAAATATTGTTGTCTACATGTTTGTAATCCTCTAGGTTCGTTTCACTAAGTACTAATTAATGAAACACAGAGGGGGCTTGGCTCACTGTTTATCTCAAAGAAAATAATAAATAAATAAAAGATTTTGGCTGTCCTCATCATTACTCTCACTTACCACGATGAGAAGTTGGGTTAGGTCGGAAGTGTGAATCTCAGAGGTTAGGTCAGAGATGTGAATCTCAGATGACGACTACATCTCTTGACTATTGCATCAGATTATTACTCAATGAGATTATTTATTCCTTTTTTACCTAATTTTTGAACTTATAGGTCTGCCTGTTCCAATTTGATGCAGATTGCAACTCATACATGGGTGACCAGTCAGAAAACGTGTCATGGGGTCGACGCTTCGCAAATCAAAATAGGTTCTGACTACATTTGCAAGGGCTTAACCAGAACATATATAACTTTTGTTGCACATTGCAAATTTGTTCAGATTACAAATTTGAAGCATCTGCAGTTTCTAGCAGACTCCATTGCCGAACTTTATTCCCAGACATCCATAACACCTATATGCAGGTTCTTCTGTCTTCGCAGCACGTGTTAATAGCAACAGGCTCTTAATTAAAGCAGCGAAAATGTTGCAACTACGTCAAGTATCACGTATCATGTACATTTATTTAGGAACAAGAATGCTGGTTTTTAATGTCGTGCTCAACAAAACATGATTTATGCTTTGATTTTTGCTTGGTATCTAATAAGTCGCTTGGTGTGCAGAAAAACTGAATTGCCAGTACATAAAAGCCAACCTTTGGGCTAAGTTATACCGCTTGCAACAACAGAGACCATAACCTTAGCCACTGAGGTCCTTGCGTATCGAGGTCTTCAGTGGGATACATTATTTGTTTCCAGGTCCAATATATCTTCCTTTTAAATTAAAGTATCTCCAGCGGATTTTTTTATTCCTATCACATCCGTGGTGTTCAACTGCCTGCGATGGAATCAGGAACGCAGATACTACACATGGTAACTTTTGTAAGCTTCCATCCAGTTTATGTTGGAAGATAATTTGTAATTCTAAAAAAACTTCTAGGATATTTGTAAAAAGCATGTAACTAGAAATGTCTAGAATAATCTAGGAACTATATATATTAAGCATTGTTGATGTACTAGTGATCACGCAGTCAATATGTATCCGTGTTTGGATGAGTTTGTTGAGGATTGATGAGAGGCCGCTTTCTTCCCCGACTTTATGTCTGGTTCTTGAGTTGTGAATCTGAAAAATCTACACGTGTAGAAAGTCATGAGAGGACGGAGCTTGGTTTCCCCCGTTGTATCTCCGACAATCAAGTTTGCTAATGAACTTGAGTGGGGTAAATAAGAACTGTGAGAGTTCTTGTGTGTGTGCAGTATGATTTACAATTTTAAAGAATTTGGATCAGAATCCGAAAATTAGGATTTGGGGGGTCAGATCTTCGATCCCATTGTAAAGATAGAATAGTACATGTATTTATACCTAGGGCATAAGGGTAGATTGGTCACTTCGGCTGAGCACTGAGAGGTAGGGGCAAAGTGTGGACTAGCGGCTGTGTCAGCACTTGCTTTACAAGTGTCGGTAGGTGATTGGGGGAAGGATCACTTCAGTATTAAACGAGAAGTGAGTGGTGACATGGAGGTGCCCTACATCGTTTGATGAGTTATGAAGGCTATCGAGACTAGGGGCATGATGCGCTTGACATGCATTTAATGCGATGTTGATAAGTTGCCAGTGATGATAGGCTCGAGGAAGAAGTTGTCCTTTAGCTTCGCCGAGAAGTAACACCTTTCGAGTCGTCTGACAAACGGTCGAGTGGACTCACAGTGAGTTGTCTTCGACAAAAGGGGGTGACAAGTATCGCCTTTTGAGTCGACGTGAAGGGATGTCGACTCGACAAGTCGGCTGGGTTGTCGTCCGTACTAGTCTCTGACCGCCAAGTTGATTGGGGTATAATATGCAGAAGTACACATTTCCGTTGTTAGGCACTGAGTTGCACTCGGGCGAATGAGAACACCATAACAAGCATGAATATAGAAAATAGAATTATATAGAATTCTTTAGAAACTTGATGTATCATGAAAAATCTAAACATTTTAAAGAATCCATTGTGAGCCTATAAATAGGCATTGAATATAAGCTTTGTAATCAAGCCTTAAGCAATTCATACAAAGTTACTTCAAGTTTTTAGACTCTTCTCATTTTTCCTTCTACTTTCTCCATTCTCAATCCTACAAAAACTAAAATTAATTACCCATCTAGCTTCCGTAACTCCAATAATTTTGGTATCAGAGCCATCCTATTCCACCTCAAATCAATCTTGAAAGCCTTTAGCCTTTCACTACCATTCTAAATGACAGACTCATCACCAATTGCCCCTTCTCTTTTCAACTACTCTCAAAACTTAGTCCCCATTTTCGACTGTGAAAATTATGACTTCTGGAGCCTCCAATTGAAGACACTCTTCATCTCTCAAGAACTTTAGGAGCTTGTCGAAGAAGGCTATGAGGGTCCAGATGACTCAGCAATGTTAGCATCATAGACACCGGCAAAGCAAAAGGAGTATAAGGAGAACAAGAAAAATGATGTGAATACGCTTATCTTTATCCAACAAGGGGTAAGCAAAGCAATCTTTTCCCAAATAATGTCCGCGTTAAAATCAAAGGATGCATGGGACATATTCAAACAAGAATTCAAGGGCTCCGATAAGATAATCTCTATCAAGCTACAATCTTTATGGAGAGACTTTGACAACATAAATATGAAAGATAATGAATCTGTGAAAGATTTTTCTGATAGAGTTACCTCAATTATTAATCAAATTAGAAGCTATAGGGATAAAATAGAGGATAAAAAGATTGTTGAGAAGATATTAAGAAGTCTTTCCCCTACATAGGATCATATTGTTGCTGCCATAGAATAATCTAAAGATTTATCAAAACTAAGTTTTTATGAATTAATGGCTTCTTTGGAGTCACATGAGCTTAGAAGAAGCAGATTTTAAGCCAAGAGGTAGAGCAAGCGTTCCAGTCAAAACTAACATTTTCAAGGAAATGAGGAGATGGAACTAAAGAAAATACAAAGAGAATATTTTCTCAGAAAGTACAAGATGGAAGAGGCAACTACCATGAAAGAAAGTTCAGGAGACAAGGAAGGATGAATGAGAGAGATAAAGATTTCTCAAAATATAAGTCTATCTCCTATTATAAAATTATAGTAAGTCTGGACATAACACATATAACTATAAATTTAAATGCACAAATTATAGAAATGCTAATCACTCCAAAAAAGATTGCTGGTATCAGAAAAATAATGAAGTTCACTATACAGAAGTAGAAACCGATCACCTATTTTATTTATGTTTTAATACACAATTAGAAGGAAAATATACTTGATATTTGGATAGTGGATGCGACAATCATTGACATGAAATAAAAGCAGCTTCGTAGAGCTGAAGGATGGAGCAAGTTCTCAAATAAAGCTTGGAGACGAAAAATTAAAAAACATTGAAGGAAAGGGAGTGACAGCAGTCCAGACGAATGAAAGTAAGACTAAATACATCTCAGATATTCTTTATGTTCCAGGGCTAAATCAAAATTTACTTAGTGTGGGACAATTAATCCAAAAAGAATATGCAATCAATTTATTTAAGAATGAATGTGTGATAATAGATGATAAGAATAAGCAAATAGTTGCCAGAATAAAAATGGCTCCTAACATAGTATTTCCCCTAAAAATATCTATAGAGAATCTTGTATTCAAATTAGAAGAAAATAATGATTCCCTATTATGACATCAAAGATACGGTCACTTAAATTTCAAGAGTCTAAATTTGCTAAAAATAATGAATAGAAGAAAAAGTTTGTGAATGATGCATTTATGAAAAAAATGCATCGCTTACTATTTACTAAAACATCTTTGAGAGCAAAAGCCCTGTTAGAATTGATGCATTCTGATGTTTGTGCCCCGACACAAACCCCATCATTAAATGGAAGAATATATTTCTTGTTATTTGTTGATGATTATGGCAAAATGATGTGGGTATATTTCTTAAAAGCAAAATCAGAAGTATTCTCAAAGTTAATTTATTGAGTTTAAGGCTCTTGTAAAAAAGCAAAGTAGTCACAAATTGAAAGTTTTAAGAACTGATCGTGAAGGAGAGTTCACCTCCAATGAATTTTAAATTTTCTATAAAAATTATGGAATTAAAAAAGAGCTAACAACAAGGTACACTCTACAAAAAAATGGAGTAGCAAAAAGAACATATAGATCAATTGTGGAGATGACGAGGAGCATGTTAAAAGGTAAAAATCTCCCAAATAAACTATGGGCTGAGGTGATATATACAGCAATCTACATCTTGAATAGATTTACAAACAAAAACTATGTCAAACAAGATGCCATATGAAGCTTGGTATAGGCGAAAGGCGAAAATGAGTTTCTTTAAGGTATTTGGTTGTATCGCCTATGCACATAAACCAACACAGTTAAAAAAGATAAAAATTAATGAAAACGAAGAAAAACTCATCTTTATTGGCTATAGTGAAGAATCCAAAGCCTACAGACTACACAATTCTGATACTAACAAATTGGTGGTCTCCAGAGATGTTATCTTCCATGAAGCAGGAACATGGAAGGGTGAACCACATCACTCCTCAACACCAAGCATCATTGAAGAAGAAACGAGGGAAGCCATGTCATATCAAGATTCTCCTAGTCTAAGATCCCCAGATGCATCAACTTCAGGCACAGATTCACTGCCGAGAAAGGTGCGTTCACTTCAAGATATTTATGACTCTTGTGATGTAGCATTCTTCTCCTGTGAATCATAGAAATTTAAAGAAGCTTTTCAAGATGAAGGATGGAGAAAAGTAATGGATGAAGAAGTATACATGATCGAGTAGAATAAGACATTGGAGTTGGTCATTCTTCCAGAAGGAAAGGAGCTCATCGGCCTTAAGTGGATATACAAAACCAAGTACAATGAAGATGGATCTGTTCAGAAACGCAATGCTCGATTAGTTGCAAAGGATTACTCTCAACAACCAGCAGTTGGCTTCAATGAGACATTTGTCTCAATAGCTCGTATGGAGACCATAAGAACGGTATTGGCTATAGAAACTCAACTCAAGCTCAAAGTGTTTCAGCTAAATATCAAGTCAGTATTCCTAAATGGAGAACTTGAAGAGGAAGTTTATGTCGAGTAACCATAGGGCTACATACTCAAAAGAGAAGAAAATAAAGTTTATTAGCTGCACAAAGCACTATAAAGGCTGAAGCAAGCATCGCGGGCTTGGAATAGCAAAATTGACAACTACTTCCTCAAGCTTGGATTTCAAAGGAGCCTAGGTGAACTGTCTCTATATGTGAAGAAAAAGGTGCGAACTTCCTTATTGTTTGCCTATATGTTGATGATTTAATTTATTGTGGCACTAACACCCTGATGATTGAAGAATTTAAAAAGAAGATGAAAGGAAATTTTGATGACAGATTTAGGATTGATGAGATATTTTCTGGGAATATAAGTAAAACAAACTGAAGGAGAAATATTCATCAATCAAGAGAAGTACTGCGAAGATTTTTTGAAGAGGTTCAACATGAAGAATTACAATGCAGTGGCTACACCAGCATTGATAAATGAAAAGCTATCAATGAACGATGGAGCGCCAAAGGTGGATGCCTCAAGTTACAGAAGCCTAGTCGGATTGCTAATCTACCTCACAAATACAAGGCCGGACATATTGTATGTTGTAAGCATTTTGTCCATATTCATAAGTAATCCAAGTAGGCTACACTATGGAGCAGCGAAGCGGATTCTTCAATATCTTTAAGGTACAAACAGTATGAGAATAAAATACACAACAAAAGAAGACAATGCCTTATCTGGCTACACTGACAGTGACTGGGCTGGATGTATTGATGATTGTAAAAGCACTTCAGGATATGTCTTCACTCTGGGATTTAAGGTAATATTATGGACCTCAAAGAAACAATAGATCATAGCTCTTTCATCTGCAGAAGCAGAGTATATCTCAGCTACAAATGCCTCATGCGAAGCAGTATGGCTTCGAAGTATTTTATCTGATTTACAATAAGACCAAGAGTCACCGACTACTCTCTACTGTGACAGCAAGTCTGCAATAGCCATGACAAAGAATCTAGCTTTCCATGTCAAAACCAAACATATTGAGATTCATCATCATTTCATCAGAAAGCTCGTTGAAGATAAGAAGATCGAGTTAGAGTTCATCTCAACAAATGAGCAGCTAGTAGACATCTTCACAAAAGCATTACCCTCCAAAAAGTTTATACTATTAAGAAATGAGTTGGGAATTACAAATTAAGGAGGAGTGTTAGAAGATAATTTGTAATTCTAGAAAACTCTAGGATATTTGTAAAAAGAATGTAAACTAGAAATGTCAAGAATAATTTAGGAACTAGATATATTAAGCATGGATGTAGAAAATAGAATTATATAGAATTCTCTAGAAACTTGATGTATCATGAAAAATTTAAGCATTCTAGATAATTCATTGCGAGCCTATAAATAGGCCTTAAATGTAATCTTTGTAACCAAGCCTTAAGCAACTCATACAAAGTTACTTTCTGGGAATATAAGTAAAACAAACTGAAGGAGAAATATTCATCAATCAAGAGAAGTACTGCGAAGATTTTTTGAAGAGGTTCAACATGAAGAATTACAATGCAGTGGCTACACCAGCATTGATAAATGAAAAGCTATCAATGAACGATGGAGCGCCAAAGGTGGATGCCTCAAGTTACAGAAGCCTAGTCGGATTGCTAATCTACCTCACAAATACAAGGCCGGACATATTGTATGTTGTAAGCATTTTGTCCATATTCATAAGTAATCCAAGTAGGCTACACTATGGAGCAGCGAAGCGGATTCTTCAATATCTTTAAGGTACAAACAGTATGAGAATAAAATACACAACAAAAGAAGACAATGCCTTATCTGGCTACACTGACAGTGACTGGGCTGGATGTATTGATGATTGTAAAAGCACTTCAGGATATGTCTTCACTCTGGGATTTAAGGTAATATTATGGACCTCAAAGAAACAATAGATCATAGCTCTTTCATCTGCAGAAGCAGAGTATATCTCAGCTACAAATGCCTCATGCGAAGCAGTATGGCTTCGAAGTATTTTATCTGATTTACAATAAGACCAAGAGTCACCGACTACTCTCTACTGTGACAGCAAGTCTGCAATAGCCATGACAAAGAATCTAGCTTTCCATGTCAAAACCAAACATATTGAGATTCATCATCATTTCATCAGAAAGCTCGTTGAAGATAAGAAGATCGAGTTAGAGTTCATCTCAACAAATGAGCAGCTAGTAGACATCTTCACAAAAGCATTACCCTCCAAAAAGTTTATACTATTAAGAAATGAGTTGGGAATTACAAATTAAGGAGGAGTGTTAGAAGATAATTTGTAATTCTAGAAAACTCTAGGATATTTGTAAAAAGAATGTAAACTAGAAATGTCAAGAATAATTTAGGAACTAGATATATTAAGCATGGATGTAGAAAATAGAATTATATAGAATTCTCTAGAAACTTGATGTATCATGAAAAATTTAAGCATTCTAGATAATTCATTGCGAGCCTATAAATAGGCCTTAAATGTAATCTTTGTAACCAAGCCTTAAGCAACTCATACAAAGTTACTTCAAGTTCTTAGACTGTTCTCATTTTCCATTCTACTTCCTCCATTCTCAATCCTACAAAAACTAAAATCAATTACTCATCTAGCTTCTGCAACTTCAACAAATTTGGAGAGGTCGTGAATACTTTCTTCTTTTATCTGTTATTCACTTTAATAGCACAATTGGCTTATCACTCCATTATTTTCTAGAGCTACTTAAATGCTATACGCTTTTCAATCTCCTTTCTCGAACTAGAGCTGTGACTACTTCTTTCTTACCAATATATTTACTTTTTGTATATTTTACATCAGATGCATGACATCTTTTGTATGAACAATATTAACCGTTGCCAGCCCTGGCCTCTCTACGAAGACTTCAGTTTTTAAACATCAGGTAATGATTCATAAATCTAATGTCATGACCCTTGCCCAGTATTTAGTCCTGTACCTCTTGAGCAATAATGTTTGCCATTCTCTATTAGTTCCATTTTCTATGTTCTTTCAATTTTAATTACTAGCCTCATATGATTTATGTCTACGTACAGGTGCCTAAACAGTTACTGAAATCTGAGTCTTCCATATATATGAGTGTATTTATTTAGAGCTTCTTCTAGCGCACTTTGCCCAGCGGAGTCGTCACTTATCTCTTCCAAGAGGCAACTTTACCTCTAATTCAGTGGAGAAAGTTCTAGGAAAATGCTGCTGTTGAAAGTCTCCGACGCCTAGTGAAGCGGCTTAGAGGTCAGGTATGAGCCACGAAGTGTCTCAAGGAAACATCTGACACCTTCGAAAAAGTAGACATTAAACCTGAAGACAATATGCTTCTGCATGAAATATTAGTAAGCCCTTCTAGCAACATGATGACACAGTAAAAAAAAATTCCTTTATATCCAAAAGGACACATATTTTGGGGAAAACCGTGGCAAGAATCATGCTCTAATCAATTAAACGTGAAAAATTGAAACACATGACTGAGGAATCTCGAATATCGCAACTTCTTTTGCTTGAAAATCTAATCCTTAAAACAAAGTATTGAGTTCATTCAGAGAATTGAGAGAGGATGTTTGGTAGTCGCCCGAGGATCAGGCATCCCTAGCTCAAACCCTTCCTCCCCGTTTCATTTCCTGTTTTCTTTTGCTCCCAAGCTTTCACGACTTCTTTTTCTTTTCCTTGAGACTAATAAAGATATCTGAACTTTGTTTATTTATCTTCATATATAATGAGAAATCCTTGCAGCTGGAGAAGAGTGGTTTCACTGCCTTTTTCGCTCGCTATCGTGCTGGCATCCAACATAAATTGCAGCTTAAGACATGAAGCCAAGTAGAAAACATAACATCATGGAAAGTGAACATCGTGATACTAAATTTCAGGCCATGAGCATTTCGCAAATGCTTTCCATAAAGATTTTATTGATCTCCCTTTGCTCATGCATAAAGGAGGAACACTGGGAAGAGGAAATTTCGTATGTCAGATTGTGGCATGTTTATTTTGATTGCAAATCTTGCATCTACTGAAACATGTCTATTTCACTCGGTTTCTCTGTGAGGCAGTGCCTAGATCGTAACGCCTAAGCCCATCGTTTAACCAGAAGTAGATTGATTGAAAGGGATTTAAGACCCCAATGATCGGGGTTGTAAAAATTTCATGTTGTAGAAATTTTTTCCCCCCATGGAAATTGGACAGATTGATCTATATCGTTCGGATTTGTATTCGGTAACATAGATTCTTTCACTTAACCTGGCACATTATGTTTCAGTTTCACAATAACTTGATTTGTGAGCTTTTACAGTTCTAGCTTAATTAGTCCCATATGACATTTAATCAAACTTGATTGAAGAGATCACACCATGTGGCATCAACTGTTCGAATCGTTTTTCACTGTAACTGGGGTTCATACCACTTGCCTTCGTCTCAATGCTAATAGCCTAATAGTGACCATATATGCAGTTAAAGCTCTCATATTAGACAGCGATGCTTCAGCTGTGAATCTCAAGTGTGGTTGAGGTAGATGTCATCAATCACAACTAACATCGACCTCTACCATTTGTGCCACGTTTAGCTCATTTTACACTATCGTGATTGATCTTATATTAATAAAGTGTGGGGGGGTTAGTTCTCAAAGAAAAAAACTTGTTGATATTGTTCCTTCTAAAATGCCTATTTTTATCGACATGAAGAGGAACAACACCTTTGCTAAATGGTCAAATAAGTATGCAAGATTTTAGTTTTCGAACCCTTTAGCCAGAAGTCAGCTATCGATCTTTCTATCAGAGGGTCAAAATTGTCACCGCCCAAAATTGTTTCTGATGAGGATATCCATGAACCGAAAACATCCCCTATCACCATAAATTGCGGCATCCAAATTCAGCGCTGCAAATATTTCAAACCCAAGACTACTTCAAATACTAAGAACAAAGCCAAACAACTTGACTCCTATTTTTCCCCCAATCTCTCGTGGTGTTAAATGTGGTTTAATTTCTTTGTGAATGCTGCAGTGCAACGTGAATTTTGAACGCTACACCTTTTATCAATTC